TAATTAATTTTTTTTATTTTTTTTAAATTTATAATATTATGTATATTAATTAATTTAAAAATATGATATAAATCATATTATTAATATCAAATTTTCGCTACAAATTTTCATACCCTATCTCTACTCTTATCATCCCTCATTTATTATTTGCTATTCGCCAACTATCGCTCACTCTCAGCTGCTACTCATTCCCGCTATTATTATCCACTGCATGCGATCCTTCAACCGCTTAATTTCACCACCAATACAAAACAGGTACAATCCAAGCTATGGAGTGAAAAAAAAGTGTGCGAAAAATTATCGAATGAAGCTCTTTACTAAATTATCCTAAAGAGTAATGATTTGCGGAACAAAATTGGAGGTGAAACGGGGGACGACAAGAGAAGCTGGTCAGAATACAAAATTACCAATTTAACCTGCTTTATTTGTCATCCCTCAATTTCGTCCTCCAATTTTGTCCCGCAAATCATTTCTCTATTCCTAAATTTACGGCCCTTCATTTTTTCTAAACAATTTTTTTTGTTAAATCTTCGATTTGATTCCTAAACCATTATATAGAACTCTAATTTAATACTAAATTAAAAAAATTTTTAATTTGATTCGTAAATTATTGTATGGACTCGATTTGATCCTTATTGTTTACCAATTTACTTTAAATTGGTTCTTTCACACAAAAATTGACATATTTCATTATTAACGTAACACATAACTGTTAATTTATTGTTTTTTATCGTTTAGTAACAGACACGTCAATTATTTTTTGTACAAAAAGATCAACTTGATATTAAATTAGTAAACAGTAGGAACCAAATAGAGGTTTGTATAATAATTTAAGGATCAAATAAGAGATTTTTTTAGTTAAGAGACCAAATCGAGAGTATGGATAACAATTCAGAAATCAAATTGGGGTTTTAACCCCTTTTTTTTTTAAGCCGTTTCCAGACGGAGTTCTCTGAAAATTTAATGAACTAAAACAAACTTGCTTGAAACATGAAAATGATGAAAAAGCAGCTCCTAGTTCTACCCGGACGCGTCTCCCTTATCGACAGTCTCTTCTTCCAATTGAGATTTCTCTCTGACAAGACTCGCGCACCCAAATTCGATGGCTCCCTAGCTTCGATGCACACCATTTCTTCGAATCATGTTTTTTCTCTTCTCGGCCTTTGCAGAAACGTTGGCACCCTTATGAAAAGTCACGCTTTGCTCATTGTTCAAGGCCTCGGCGGGGATCTTCTCTGTGATACTAAATTGGTGAGCTTGTATGGTTCTTTTGGGAATCTTGAATATGCCCGTTTACTGTTCGACAAAATGCCTGAACGGGATTTTTATTCCTGGAAAGTAATGCTCAGAGGGTACTTTTTGCATGATCTTCACGTTGAGATTATTTGGTTTTATAATCGTATGAGAATGTGTGTAAGAGACTGTGACAATGTTGTGTTTTCAATTGTTTTAAAGGCTTGTAGTCAATTGGGGGAAATTAAAGAAGGGAGGAAGGTCCATTGTCACATGGTTAAGGCTGGGAAGCCTGATAGTTTCTTGCAAGCAGTTCTGGTGGATATGTATGCAAAATGTGGAAAAATCGACTGCTCTCATGATGCATTTACTGAAATTCTTGAGAAAGATGTGGTTTCTTGGACTTCACTAATTGCCGGGTATGTACAAAATGATTGTGCTGAAGAGGGATTGAATTTATTTAATAGGATGAGAGAAGCGAAGGTTAAGAGTAACGAATTTACTCTAGGGAGCTTAGTTACTGCATGTGCGAAGTTAAGAGCTTGTCATCAAGGGAAATGGGTTCATGGATATTTGATCAAGATAGGCATTGGTTTTAATTCCTACTTGGTAACGGCACTTTTAGACATGTATGTAAAGTGTGGAGCTATTACAGATGCTGGTTCTATATTTGACGAACTTTCTTCTATTGATCTTGTTTCGTGGACAGCCATGATTGTTGGGTACACACAGAGTATTTGTCCTGAAAAGGCTTTGAAGTTGTTTATAGACAAGAAGTGGATTGGGATTTTGCCTAATGCTGTTACTCTTACAAGTGTGCTTTCAGCATGTGCACGGTTGGGCAATTTGGATTTTGGAACATTGGTTCATGGACTCATGGTTAAGCTTGGACTTGAGGAGCCTATGATGATTAATGCTCTGGTGGATATGTATTGTAAATGTAGAAATATTGAAGATGCTCGAAATTTATTTGTGAGAGTCTCAGACAAGGATGTTGTTGCTTGGAATTCAATGATCTCTGGGTATTCCCAGAATGGGTATGTTTATGAAGCCCTTGAATTGTTTCATCAAATGAGGTTAGAATCTTTCTCACCTGATGCTGTCACATTGGCAAGTATCCTTTCTTGTTGTGCTTCACTTGGTGCTCTTCAAGTTGGTTCTTCTGTTCACGCATACTCTCTAAAGGAGGGGTTAATGTCATCCAATGTCTATGTTGGCACTGCTCTTTTAAACTTTTATGCGAAATGTGGGGATGCTCAATCTGCTCGTATAATTTTTGATAGTATGGAAGAGAAAACCTCTGTCACATGGGGCGCAATGATTGGTGGTTATGGAATGCAAGGAGATGGTTTTGGTTCACTGGAACTTTTTCATAATATGTTGAAAGAAAACTTGGAGCCAACTGAAGTAATATTCACCTCTGTTTTGTCTGCATGTAGTCACACAGGGATGGTTGGGGAAGGATGGGGGTATTTTAATTCAATGTGCCAGGACTTTGGGCTTGTGCCTACCATGAAGCATTATGCATGTATGGTAGATCTTTTGGCCCGTGCTGGAAGGCTTGAAGAAGCCTTGAACTTCATGGATAACATGCCTATTGAGCCAGATGTTAGTTCCTTTGGAGCCTTTCTCCATGGATGTGGACTTTATTCAAGGTTTGATCTTGGAGAGTTGGCTATCAGGAGAATGTTAGAGTTACATCCTGATGAGGCTTGTTATTATGTTCTCATTTCTAACTTGTATGCCTCAGATGGAAGATGGAGTCAGGTTAATCAACTGAGAGAGTTGATGAACCAGAGACAATTGAACAAGTTCCCTGCTTGTAGCATTGTGGAGATGGATATACACAATGATTTGTCATCCACCACAGTGGAATGCCTTGCTTAGTTATCTGATGTGTCTTTGGAGTCAGGAGGATTGCAGTTTCCAGATGTGCAGCAATTAAGAATTGCACATCCCATAGCATATTGAATCAAGGAGGTTAGCTTCTGTTATAACCTTGCCACAAAGCAGTGCCTGGTTCTTCTGGGTGCAGATCTAGGATGATTGGAGATCTTCATGACATCTTCATGCATGATTAAAGGAGTGCATGTGTCTGTGGAGTCAGGAGGATCACAGTTTCCAGGTATACAGAAATTTTAATTAAGAACTGCATCCCGGATCACACTGAGTTTCTCTTATAACATTGCCCTGAACCAGTGCCAGTTTCTTCTGCCTGCAGATCTAGGATGGCTTGAAATCTTCATGGATACAAATGCATAATAAATCAGTCACAGAAGCTCATTCCTGAAAAATTCAAACATGCTAAATGGCAAGACATTTATTGAACAGCTGCTCAGAAGATTTATCATGATGATTATGCAGAACTACTTTGGGTTAACAATCATCGAGTATGCGAACATCAGCTTTGTATGCAAAATCTATTCAAGGCTTTCTATTACACTTTAGCCTCTGGAAAAAAAGGGGCTAAATAATTGAGCTTGGTCCATGGATTTCAAATAGGTTAAAACTTCATTTTGGTCTCTAAACTATTGTACGGACTCTCGATTTAGTCCTTAAGCTTAAAAAATTTTTGATTTAATCCTTACTATTTACCATTTTTACCTCAATTTGGTCCTTCTGTTAAACTTTTGTTGACGTGTCATGTTAACTAACGGCAAGGGCATGTCTTTTTAATAAATAAAATACGTGGAATTATACGTGGCAAAATACATGATTTGATAAAAAAAAATTATTTAAATAATCTCTAAATATAATAATATGGCTATATTACCTTTATCTTCAACCTCTAAACTCTAAATCCCTACATTTTCTTTTTCCCTTCGCCAACACTAGATTTGGTTCTCTTTCTTCTTCCTTTCCTTTGCCTTCTACAAATCCTTAATACTTTTGTCAACTATCTGAGACTCCCAAGGTGGAGCAAGAAAGAAAGCGAAGCCAAGAACTTCGAACCCAGCAGCGGTTGGGTTCTTTTGAACCCAGCAGCGGTTGGGTTCTTTTGAACCCAGTAGCCATTGGGTTCTTCCGAACCCAGCAACTTGTCTCCTTTTTTCCTATTAAATTTGAAATCTTTAAATAAATTTTGTTTCTTGAATCTTGTTTGGTAAGAGAGAAAACATGATGGTTGATAAAGAAGATCTGGGTTTGAGTCTTAGCTTGTGTTTTCCTGAGACTCACCATTCTTTGCTGTTGAATCTTTCATTGTCTTCTTCCCTTAGGTTTTGCGCATGTCTCCTTTTTGTATCCATTTTCCCCCTGTTTTCCTGAGAAACAAACAAAGCTTTAAAAAGTTTTATTTTTCATTTTTTTTGGGTATTTATTTAATACTTTCTTCATTCCCTTGAAGAAGCTTTTAACAATCGTTTTTGCTACCCTTACATAAAAGAGCCATATTCCAATGGATTGGTGTAGATTTTGAGATTTGATTTGCGGTGGTCTTGGATCTGTTAGGTGCGCAAGCAATGGGCGATGAACAACCATGTCTGGAAGAGAAAGAGGTGAGAAAAATCAAGGGGGAGAAGATGAATTGATTTGGTGAGGAAAATCGAAGGTGGTTTCAGGTGTTAGGGTTTACAGTAGCAAAAAGGAAAGGAAGAGGAAGAAAAGAACCCAACAAAAAGAAAAAACAAAGGAAGAAAAAAAAAAAGAGAAGGAAATTTTTTAAGGTGTTTTGTTGCCACGTCATTATTTTTGTCATGCTGTGCATCCTACGTGTTAAAATATTTTACATGTCATCTTTTTCACTTCAAATAACGAACCTCGTAGGCAGATGTTTAACAAAAGGATTTAACGAAGGACTAAATTAGAGTAAAAATAGTAAACAGTAAGAATAGAGATTTTTTAAGTTTAGGGATCAAATTGGAAGACTGTACAATAGTTCAGGAACCAGAATGGGATTTTAATCTTTCAAATAAGATCGGAATTGGCTTTGGCTTTTTTCATAATGACCACATTTGGAACGAATTTTATTCAGACCAACAACTTAGCACATTTAGAGGAAGCTAATGCATTGTAGAAAATATTTAAATTAGTTTACTAATTCTTTAATACCCAATCTTGAATTATCTGTGAAATTCTTGCAAGTTTTCTATCTATTATTAAAGGCCCAACTTCCTATTATCACATACATTTTATTGAATGAATTAACGAAGTAGAAGTTTTTGAGAGATGCTTTATCTTATTATTATTATTATTATTTTTTTCCTGGCCGTCTTTGAGAGATGCTTCAATACTGGAAAACATTGAAGGACAATTCTATATTGACTTATAAAAAAGAGCAATTCTCCAGTTGGTTTTCAGCCACAAATAGTAACTCATTCATATCTTATTTTTGGGTGGAAAATATTGTTTATGTTCAATTGGGCAACAACCAATCCAATATAGTGGAAGAAACTTCATGTTTGGGTTCGTACATTTGGAACGGTAGGAGTCAGGGGCTAGTTCAACAACAGCAGGTTTCATTATGCAAATTGTTTAGTAACCAATGCAAATGGTGGTGAAATTTGGGCGCTTTCCTGGTTCAGCCCCAATGGTGCCACGTACCTTGCTATTGTAACTTTCTGATGCTTCTCCAAAATGGACACCTCCTCCCCTACAAACTGTAAAGTATCACTCCGATGCTGCATTTTGTTTTCAAGCAGGATTGGCTGGCATGGCAGTTGTGTGCAGAGATGCTAATGGGACCCTTCTTGATGATGGGATCGCCTTTAGGCAGCATGTGTCATCAATACTAGTAGCTGATGCTTTGGCACCGTTTGCTGCAGTAGGATTGGCAACTTCCTCTGGCGTGCAGCGCGTGATTTTTGAATCGGATTGCAATCGAGTTTATTTTGGCCAACACTACTCAGGTCTCCACCCCATGGCAGACCCTCTTGTACTTTCTATATGCTCTCCATCTGCTACTTCTGATTCCTGTAATTTTGATTGTGTTCCTCATGAGGCCAACAAGGTAGTTAATTGCGTTGCCAGGCACGTTCAGAGGGAAAATGTCCTTTATACTGTGTACTTAGACAGCTGCTCCGTAATGATATCTCTACACAATCAATGAAAATATTCAGTTGAAGCTCAAAAAATAGAAGAGAATTCTCCACTGCTTAATCTCAAGCAAAGGATTTGCAAAATTAACAGTGAGACTATCTGAAATACCTCATGAAGGCTACTCAGCCATTTTTTCTTGGCAAATAAAATATTATCATAGATGTCTTAAAATCCCACAAGGTCAGCCACAAGGCAAGAAACTGGGAATTTCCATTTTTTGCAGAAGAGAGGTGTCCCCAGCTCCAAACCTGTAAGCTCTCTTTTCAACCTCTATTATGCTGTACCCAGGCACCTTCCTAAGACCCATGCCTCTCATTATTGATCTCACCTTCCCAAACTCATTCCACTTCCGTTCTTCAGCATATATATTAGATAATAAAGTATAGAATCCAGTATCATCTGAACGGATATCTGAAAAGTCTCTTTCAAAAGTTTTGATCATGTCCATCCTCTGATGTATTCGACACCCATTAAGTAGAGCAGCCCAAATACTGGCATCTGCAGGAAATGGCATTGCTTTGATTATTTTATATGCTTCATTTAAATCACCTGCACGACTCAGAAGGTCAACCATACAAGCATAGTGTTCTGTAGTAGGCTCAACACCAAAATCCCTCATCGAGTTGAAAAAAGACTTCCCTTCTTTCACAACTCCAGCATGACTACAAGCAGAAAGAATATTCATGAAGGTAACTTGATTTGGACTTATTCCTGATTCCACCATACGATTGAAGAGTGATACTGCAACATGTATCCAACCATGCGCTCCATATCCAGCTATCATTACACTCCATGAAACCACACTCCTTTCTGGCATGTGATCAAAAACTCTTTGGGCTGTTTGAAGGTCTCCACACTTGGCATACATGTCAGTTAAAGCTGTATCAATATAAAGATTATATCTTACACCAGATGTAATGAGCTTGTGATGAACCCATTTTCCCTTCTCAAGATAACCCAAATTGGAGCATGCTTGAAGCACACTTAGGAAGGTCACTTCATTCATCTCAAGACAGCTTAAGAACATTTGATCAAAGATGCTAATTGCTTTTACTGAATAACCATTTTGAGAAAATCCACAAATCATAGAATTCCATGTTATGACACTTTTCTGTTTAATCTCATCAAATACCATATGTGCTAATCCCATGTAACCACATTTTGAGTACATATCAATTAGTGAATTCTTGACAAACTCATCTGAATGTCCTCTTTTCATAATATGACCATGTATCTGGCATCCAAGCTCCAATAAACCAACATCTGCACAAGCTGAAAGAGAACTTGCTAGGCTAAATGAGTCTGGAATTAGTCCTTGTATCTGCATTCGCACAAAGAGCACCAATGCTTCCATTGACAACCCTTTGTGAGCATAAATTGATATAAGCACATTCCATGACACAATATTTCTGTGCCCATATATGTCAAGAACTTTATCACAGTACTTTAATTTCCCACACTCAGCATATAATTCTATCAACGCTGGCCCTAAAAGGTCATAGTCAGGGTCTATTTCTTTCCTAATAACATGACAATGAATTGACTTCCCCTCTCTGAGCCAGCACATCCCAGCACAGGAACCAACCATGGCCATCATGGTTACAGAATTGGGTTCTACTTCAGCATTTAGCATATCATGGAAAGCTTCTACGGCTTCTTGGAAGAACCCACTTCGATTATAGCAGGAAATTAAAGCTGTCCATGAACTAGTACTTGGGTTGCTCAAGTATACAAAAATCCTCTCTGCAGTACACAAGTCACCACATTTACTGTACAATGCAATTAAAGAATTAGCCAATGAACCATCATATTCAATTCCTCTCCTCACTATTTGAGCATGGAGCGACCTTGCTAATCTCAAGTGGCCAACCTCAGCACAAGCCTCGGCCACACTAAGCAATGACACTGGGTCCAGTCTGACACTTTCCAGGACCATCAAATGAAATATCTCCAACCCTTCCCTTGCCTGCCCATTGTTGACGTAGCTCGAAATAATGGAACTCCATGAAACCACATCTCTTTCCGGCATTTCATCAAACACCTTCCTAGCATCATTCGGGCATCCTCTTTCACCATATATACTAACGAGTGAGGTCTGAATAACAGTATCATCATCAAAGCCGCACTTTATTATCCTTCCATGAACCTCTCCGCTAAAACCCAAGTCGCCAGTACCCGAACAAGCCCTCAAAACTGAAGGAAACACAAAGCTACTAATGTAAGCCTGCTTGTGTATCATTTCGTGGTAGAGCGAAAGAGCTTCATGAAAGAAGTTGTCCCAGACATAGCACTTGATCAGGACACCCCACATGAAGGAATCTGGGTTTCGGAAGGTATCAAAAACAAGTCTTGCAGAATTAAGTGTGCCCATCTGGGCATAGGATTCAATGAGCTTTGTAGAGGGAAGGTTGTCATAATGGAGGCCAGTAACCAAGATATGGGCGTGGAGTTGAGTCAGGAGTCTCAAAGTTGTGCATGATCTGAATAATGGCATGTAAAGGCTCATTGCAAAAGAGAAAAATGAGAAACGACTTCGGTCGGTCGCCTTCACTATGCCCCTTGCGATGCAATGGTAAGTCGAGAATTTATGACGAGATATTCTTCCTAGAGCACGTTAATGTGTCACCTTCACATCAATGATTGAGGTATTTATTATTACATGATCTAATAGTAAAATTATTTTTAATCTTATTTATTGGAATAAAGTTTAATTTTTAATATTTACATAAAAAAATAATTAAGGGCTTCTCTTATAATTCAAAAAAATTATTTTATTAATCATTTAATTAAAAATAATTACCACACCTCTTAATATATGACAATATTAAAAAAATTAAGATATTATTGGTTTGATATTTCATTGTATAGAAGAATTTCTCATTGCAAATACATGACAATTTATATCTTCTAATTAGGGTGATTTTGAATTTAAAATTTAGAATATAAAGAGAAATAGAAGAAAATTTGAAAAAAAAGAATTAGTTTATATTTGTTTTTTCCCTTATTATAGGAGTGACTAAGTTGCGGATCTCCCTATTTCAACCATTCAATTTCTTCCTCTGTTCAATTCCACATTCCCCTTATTATTTTTTTGTTACATAAGAAGCTAGATAATCAGCCAAGTCCTTTGGATTAAAGTTCCCATAATATCCTCCTTCAGAAAGATGTTGATGCCTGATGGTGGACTAGCAAAGGTAGTTGTGTGCCCTGTGGCAGTGTTTGGTCGAGAGTAACCTTATAGTCTACTGCATGATTGCCTTCTCATAGAGTATGCTGAATCGTACATGCACCGGATAAATTTAACATATGGAAAATGTTTGAGAATAGGGCTAAGAAAGGACCCATGACATCCTTCATAACTTGAATCATCTGTACTGCTAATAGAGCCTCCATTTCCAGTATTAGATAAGTAATTCCAATTTCAGGGGCTAGGCGTAGACCTTCCATACATCCCTACAGTTCCACCATATAACTTGATTGGGGTCCTAGGTGTGGGGCAAAACCATGGATCTATCGTCCACTACAATCCCAAATCAACCCACCAGTATTTGCTTGTCTAGTGACATGATTCATTGCCTCGTCTATATTCAGTTTAAGAAAAGGGAAATTAAGAGGGTACCAACGAACCCATCTAGGCATCTGAGAGTGAGTAAAGACATTTGAGGTTAGAGCTATTCTTGTATCTAAGGCCAAGAAACAAGATTGGGAGTATATGATATGTGGTCGAATCCACTACCCTTAAAAAAATTAAATATATTTCAACTCTTCCAAATAGTTCGGATAAAAGGTAAATGTGGGTCACTGATTATTAGGGGTGCTTGAGGATATATTTGCTTCTACATTACTCCTTAACCGAACATTAAAATGTAGCAAAAACCCTTCTTAAGCCCTCAAACTTACCCCAAAATAACATTTAAATCCTCCACCTCTTTTGTTAGAAATTGAAATTAACATAGGGTTTTTGCTCCATGTATTGCACGAACAGGTTCTGCTCCAGGGTATCGATGTCGGTAGCTAGTTTCCAAACCAGCTGCAAACCCTATCAGTGTGTTCATCTAGTGTGAAGGTGAAGATGAAGGAGAAGGTGGAGGTGGAGGCAGAGGCAAAGAGAGGCAAAGGCGAAGGGAGGCATAGGCAAAGGTGGAGCCAGAAGCAGAGACAAAGGTGGAGCCGAAGTCGGAGTCGAAGATCAAGATTGGAGGTTATGAGAGGCGACTTCAAGGGACTGTGTCTTAAACTGTTTTAAACTGGTATTTTCTTGCTTTACATGGACTAAAGCAAAGGTAGGGAGGATATGTTAGTTTCCAAGGGTGCTGGTGCTATGGGGTTAGTTTCCTTAAATTTGATATGTTAGATGGTGTTGATTTTATTTTCTTTTCTTTTTTTCCAGATTTATCATTTATTGATATTTTCCCACTCTGATTTTTCTTTTTTAGCAAAAGCGCAAATATAATGCCTTTGATTGGAATGATGGATAAATACTTGGAAGAGCACATGATGTAATTTGGAATTCACAACTGAAAGTTGAGTGTTTGAATAAGGAAGTGGGGGAACTTGAAAGAGATAAATTTATTAATGTTGAGAAAGCTGTTGAGAAGCTAATGGATCATGTAAGGTTTGAAGGGATGGATCAAGTTGGAAAGCTGCAAATGAATTTCTCAATTGTGCTTGTGCTTGTAAATTCACAATTTAGTTTATAGCATTTGGTAGAGTTATGTTATGGATGTTAGAAAATGCCATGAATTTCAAACTCTGGATTCTTTGTCTTCTTTTGCTATGTATGGATCATGAACAATGTATGTAATATTTTCAGCTTTTGATAATGAAAAGCAAATGTAATTACTTTACAATTGAACTCCAGGTTTTGGTCCTTTTATTTATGGTTCAAACTCCAAATTCTTTGTCTTGTTTTCATTTGAGCAAAATCCATCCAAATTCTGTTCTCTTCTTATGTATACATATGCAAATGTATCCAATATCCTGTCTTCCTTTTTATTTGAGTCATCTAGGTTATGTTCTCTTTTTATTTATATACATATACAAATATATCCAAGTTCCTGTCTTCTTTTTTATTTGAGTAAAACATGTCCAGGTCCCTACACAAGCAACCTAAAAATTTTGTCAAAAATCAAATGAACACTTTTTTTTTACAGCACTGACTTCAACATGAATTAACATTTAAATAAAAAACCTACAATCATCAACAAACTGGCCAACATCAATAGACCACTTTTAATTCCCATCAACCAACTACCTAAATAACATATAGTCATTTGGATATGTCCACATATAAAAACTAGGTAATCCACATCAAGATACTAAAATTTCAAACATAGATAAGTTTCACAAAAGACAAAAGGCATATTTATCTATCTCAAAACCCAACCCAATAGTTGTCTTTATTGTTAAGACTCGTGTCATCTCCAAATGGGGGCACAACAATTATGCTTCCTTGGTCTAATGATGCATCATCATAGTTGGTTTGTTGAGCACTACTTCTTTGTTGAGAAGGCATAGCAAATAAGTTTTTTTGGTCCAAAGATGCAACAGAATTCTTGGCTTACTGAGCATTGCTTATTTGTTGATAAAAAGTTGGCATGGTTGTTGCAGTAGTGCCTTCTCTAGTGGTATACTTAGAAAGTCACCTAGGCTATAAACAATAAATTTTGATTAAACAAATAAAGTGTAATTCAACCAATAAAGTCTACTACTTAAATATAATTTTTTAAGTAAATAAACTAATATCTTACTTACATTCCATTTCATTGCACCCGTATACTCATTCACTTTAATGCCTATGCCTAATTGCTTTCCCTTCTTGAATTTTTGTTTTCTATTGGCACTCACCTTTGCTCTTCCCTTGTCTTTTACAATAAAAGGTTGTTGTGCTGAAGAAGATGTAGGACCCTAGGAAACAACCTGCAAATACACAATTTAATATTACCTATTAGATTTAATATAACTACAATTTAAAAGACTTACCATTCAAAATGCAACTTACATTTGAATTGGTAACTGATGTCTATGAAAGATTGATTGATGTTAGAACCGCTGCTATGTTTCTTAAAGCTGTAACTTGATTTACTTATCTAATTAAATGATAGTTATAAATAAATTTAACTTTGTATATTTAAAAGTACTTACAATTTTAGCATTCCTATGATATGCAGCAGAAGGCCTTCTCTTTTTACCATGAGATGATGATGCACCAGATGTATTGGTTTGTTTCCAAATAAAATGGAATCAATTGTTGTTCACATGAAACCATACCTCATTAGTTAAAAGTACATCTATTAAAACAATACATCATTATTTGAAATAAATGGACATCCTGCCCTATTGTGTCCCTCTTGTTTGTAGTGGGAACATGTCATTATCCTTCCTTTCCTTGAGATTTTAACTACCTTGGATATTTTCTTAGGCTCATCTTTTGACTTCTTCCTTTTTTTTTTTAAGTCTCCCTTGTCTCTTTCTAATTGGTGGAGGATTAATAGGTTTTCCATGAAATGTCATCCAAGACTTGTCACCACACATTGCCTTAAAAGAGAATCCATACGACAACACATACTTTTCCCTTTTGTACTAATCAGCTACATAGTCCTTAGGAACTAACTTTTCATGATACATGCAACATGACATGTAGGCATGGAATTCCATTCATCTGCCAAGCTCTACAAGTGCATGTCCTTCTTTGAAGATTAACAGCATGTTTATCATTTCTATGTTTGACTTCAAAACCAGTTATCGCATCCCAAAGCAACCTGCATTGCGATGACTCATTCTTATTTTCTTTTAACTTATCCCTAGCCCTCAAGGCAATGTCTCCATTCCAGCCTCTCATTGATTTTCTCTTGTTAGCAATCCTTTCCATGACTTGCTCCCTCAAAGTCTCAGCTAAACTAATAATAGCCTTATACCTTGCATCCATAATCCAAAAATTAAAGGACTCACACATGTTGTTTTCTACAACATCACAATAAGCATCTTCAGTGAAAAATGCCCTGCACCAATACTTAGGAGGTATCCTTTGCAAATCTCTCCAGGTCTGCTCATTTAATTTCTTAAGCTCATTCATATTATGATCAAATTCAGCTAGCCAACTAGATCTTGCAATGATGTAGAATTTCTTTTTGTATTCTTCTCCCCTATAATCCTTTGCCCAATTAGCATATATATGC